TATATATATATATATATATATATATATATATATATATATATATATATGTATGTATATATATATTCGGGTCTTTCTCTTTCTCTCTTACCGTTAGAGTACCGCTCGGACGTGTTCGCGTGTTTGTATGCGTGTATGAGTGCATTTCTCTCCGAACATTTTGTATATAAGTTTGTATTTCTATGTCGAAGCACTGTACGAGAGGAAGAGCGAGAGAGAGGACTGAATATTTTAATAATAATATTTAAAGTAAACACGGCCGCCGCTCGACCGTGTTTGTCGATATAAATATATACGGTGTAGAGCGCGTGGAAGTTGAACGTAAAGGAGAGGAGCTGTGGATGCACTTCCCGAGATGCAGTACGAGTGTAGACAAGTTAAAGAAAATTGTTGTTTAATTATATTTATATCGAACGTTGATTTACAAACGGGGATCTGGTATCATGACGTATCAGATTGTGTAACGATCATGGATCTCGCGTGCGATCGAAATTTTAAAGGGATACGGGATACGGGATACGAGATAAGAGATCCGAGATAAGTGGTAAGGTATAAGGGAATGGATACCGAGGAAACAGCATACCTGATGTGTTCACGGGATCACAATCGTGAGACGAAACACAAAACAAGTGCAATTATTTACGGAACGAACGGGGATGGAGAGATCTAGGATGATAGAGAGAAAGAGAGAGAGATTAGGGGGAAGAAAAAGGGTATGATGTTCGATGAACGATATTTTATTCGATATTCGTCGGTTCATATAGAGCGGTGATCTTTGTAGGATGTTTACGAAAGCAACGGCGAGCACCGTCTAAAAGTATCGAAGCATTTTTAACGCACGGACACTTGTCTATACCTTGATGTTGGCATACGGAGCAAATCGTGTTACGTGTATGATTCAAGATTCGAAACGAGATTTCGTCGAATCGCGTGTCCAAAGTATATTATACGCATATACAGAACTATAGATATACACTGCAATCGAGTGTCGATAATGCTCAGACTATTTTACATGAAGCGACATATGCTTGATTTAAACGAAGTGCCTTTCTCTTTGCAATCGATTTATATATTATATAAAACGAGACGATATTATACACGTTAACTATTGAAGATCGTCAACTCTTTCAAAGCAATAACCGTCCATAAACGAGATGTTTTACGTGAAAAAACATGTGGTAAGAATTGTTAAAAATAAGCAAACACACCGTTTTTTAAGACCCTTTTTAAACGATACTTCGAAGAGGGGAACACAAAATGAATATATATATATTTTTTTTATATATAAAGTCTATACTTGTTATACGAATTGCAGTTATATTGGTATTTTGAAAACGCTGTTAGATTGTAAAATTCTCTTACGTTTTATACTACTATACAGTTATATAATGGAGATTACAAAAGGAGAGTATATGATATTTATAGATTATCTTTAAATATCTCTTTAGCCGTAAGGGTTTTCTTTTTTTTTTCTTCTCTCGCGTCGATTCGTTCTCTCGCTCGATCCCCCCGCCCTCCTTTCCTCTATGCGATCGACGGGGGATCATGGGAGCGCGCGTCCTGCACGAAAGCGAAAAGAAAAAAAAGAACAGAGGCCGATCAAACTTGTACTTGTCTGTTTCTCGTTGAAACAACCTGTAGAGTAATGGTTCAACTACCGAACAATCAAAGCGACTCGGTAAAGAAACAACGCGCGTACGCATATACGAGTACATATATGTATACATACATGTGTACTGGCTGAGTCGCCTAAAACTCCAAGCTCAAACGCTTTCGAAACTTTTCGTTCCGTCGGAAAATATTTCAAACAATTTGAATGATCACGAGAGCGAAGATCAAGTTTGTGCTCCGTTAAATGGATTTCTTTTTATGATGCAGCTGTTTTCCGTAGAAACAAAGAGTAGACAGAATTATCGGCTGAATCTACTAACCCGTGTGCTTGACCTTTGAATGTTCTCCGTGCGTTTTACTCGTTGAAATGCCACAATCACGCGTGAAACAATACCATTCAATTTTTGTCTGAAGGATCTTTCAATAGAACCAACACTTTCGAAAATATTTCAGCTTCCAGTCGTGGGCGACTGACCCCGTATAAACAAATACGTATATATATATTATATATATATGTATATATTTTTAGTTACAT